CTCTCCACACAAGCCCAGCTTTAAAGAAGCAGAATGCCGTGTTCTCCAAAACCTTTAACACCAGATCCATTAGCATGGCATGTTCAAGAAGCATCAATTCACTCAATTTTACTTGCATGGCAATACTGAAGTTTCACGTGACAGTATCAATTCAATCTTACATTGAAAACTCTACAACAGGAACGACTAAGGCTTAGTAAACCAGTAACTAGAATATCATTTGTTGAAATGCTCAAAATAATGAGCAAATCAGAACAAGCAGCAACTTATTATTAAACTAGGAGACTTAGAGTAGCAGACATCTCTAACAGTTTTTATCATGCTAGCAAACTGCACAGCCCCACAGAAAAAAAAAGAGGAAGCAGTTGTTCCCCAGTTGTAAGTTAAATTCTTTTTTTAACCAAAGTGCTTCCCCCACACACTTCAAGAGCACGACTTGTTCACAGGAACAACCAAAGCTAGGCAGATAAAGTACTAAGCAAGCAAACAGTGAATTTTAAATAGTCTCGGTCCAAATACAATCCTAGTTATTTCTGTAGCCACTGCTTTACCTGCACTATTAGTCCTCATTTACTCTGCTTCTGGGCAAAGGTTACAGTATGAACTTGAGCCCTAAATCAGCATTCATATCAAAACAAAAACAAGTAAAAAAAGCAAAAAAAAAAAAAAATCTGTTTCTGAGCACTTAAGAAACCTTACTCCCCTTCCTAAAGGACAAACACTGAGCACCCTATGAAAAACACCTCCAAGACACATTCCAGTGCACCTTGCTCACCACGAAGGAGCAAAGAAGGAAACAAGCTATTCCTACCCCTTCTAGATTCAGGTTCAGCTTCTATTTGTTTCTGTGAAACTGAAGTATGTCAGAATAACACCTCAGAATAACACCAAATTAGAGAGTGGTCAATTTGCATCAGTCAGCTCAAGGCTCACTAGCAACCAAACTAAGTTTTATGACCCCAGAACATCAGCCTGACAGTGATGGAACAGCATCTGGAAAGGAGAGGTCAGCAGCATTCCAGGAAGATGCTCATTCCTCTCAGCATCTCCCTTCCAGGCACGCAGTTTTTGCACTGAAGAGCTGACACAAGATATCTTGATTTTGGTTTTGCCTCCACCCAACACTCCCCAGGCCTTTTTAGCCCTAACACCTCTGGCCCTCTATAACTGCTCCCACTCTGCTCAGACAGGCCTCCTCCAAACCCTGCAGCACCTGGGCAGCACCACCAGATGGGCTTGTACCAGTTCCTCCTGCAGCTTCTCATGACCAACCCCACCTTGTAAACTTGAAAACTGAGCTCACCCCTGAAAAGTAAGAAAGTTCACCCTTTGTATTTTAACAGTGCATTTATTTGCACCACAGTTTGATCTGGACACATTCTTACTTGCCCCAGACTTGAGGGCAGAGAAAATATTGGCTTGACCCTCCATAGTCACCTGTTCCCTTCCCCCAGAGGAAGGACATTTCAATATGTGGATCATCCTTCAACAGGCAAACCACCCACTTCCAGTCACTCCCATATATTTGAGAGCATCTTACTTGTCATTAGCCAAGTATTAGGAACAAGCTGCATTATCCTCTTCACAACAGCATAGAGACTAGATATTCCCAGTTCTCAATTCTTGCAGGCTTAGAAATCCACTAGAGTAGCTGCCAAAAAACTTTCTTGGCTTACCAGTATTGAAGCTGCACTTAATTCTCAGGTGGGGAAGCCTGAACTACTCCCAACCAAGCCCTAGACCAAAGTGCATGTGGTGGTCAGTGAACCACAAACAGTTACAATGAACATTTAGAGGAAGAACATTAACAGAAAATACAAAGCTCCTAAAACAGCTTCTCAAACAAAGATGATTTCCCCAAATATTAGCGAGCTGTAAGGCCACCTCCTCAGATTCACAGAGGTGCCAACACTGGTACTTCTTTGGAGGGGGAAGAAAAACAGTGGAGTTGAAATGCATGGATAAACAGAGATTTAATTAAGCCAAATATTTTCATTCTTTAGTTACTGAAGGAAAACAGTGGTATATTTCCCCAGGCTGTGAACAGGTCACAGAAAGTAATCTCTTGCCTAGTTACAAACCACCACCACTCACAGCAGGCTGCTATCAACTCCAACACTAGGGACAAGTCTGTAAAGACACCAAGTCTGCAGGGCCAGACCCAGCACAGAAATGCAAAGGAGCTGAAGCCAGCAACCCCATAGCCATTCACCTCAGTTCCAATGGTCCTTAGGCAGACAACTGGGCAGGAATTTAATTCCTTCCCTGTGCATCTCAATAGAAAAACCAAGTCCTTGCAGGCCAGCACTAAGTCTTACCTCATTGCTGCAAGAAACTTAAACATCAGATAATTACAAGAAGAACTAATTATGAAATACACTGTAGAATTACACTAGATCTCTCCTTTAGGCAGCAGAGCAAGGGGCAGGAAGGCTGGAAAACAATTCAGCAGGTAAGTTCTAACTAGCAAAACAAATTACTTCAACCACCACCAGTGTTTTGATGCTACAGAAGGCACCATAAACAGCCTGAGCTAATTAAGAGCTTCCTGACAGTAAACATCAGGACAGAGATATCAGTCTTAACATTCTCCCATGATATAAATTAGGATACTTGCTAAGGATGAAGTCCCAAGCCACTTGACCAGGAAAATGCTTAGCCAAAAGCAAATCAGAGAATAGTTATTTAAGGAAGTGCATAGTTTATCAGTCATCAGGGAGAGGGAGGGGGTTGATGTCGCATTTTATTTTCACTGTATTTCACCCTTATTTTCCTTCTTTGTGTCAGAGTGGCTTCAAGCTTCCCCAGGCCACAGCAGCCTACAGACAAAACTGAGTATAATGAGCTTATTCAAAAAGCAAGGCCCTCAGACAAGACTTACCAACCATGTAAACAAAATAAACTTGCATTTACCTAAGTTTCTACTCTATTGAAATGAAGACATAACACTTAATTAGTGATGCATCAAGAAACATCACAGAATATTTTGCAGACATTTTTACGGGTACTTCATATGAAGAATATGTTCATTTTTTATGTCTATTGCAAGAAAGCCTTGGCACAGAACAAGGAAATACATTTCTCCTACTACTCATTATGCTGCTTCCTAAGTCAGTTCTAAAGATTTTTACACTCCATTCTAAAAGTTTTCTCAGGACGGTATTTTGGCTAGTCAGCATCTTGTCTGATAGCAGTATCAAGGTTTGGATTTTCAGAATATCGTAACTAACAAACTACAACTGAATTTTAAGGTTTCCCACAATCTAAACAAATCCTATAACTGCACGCAGCTCAACTTAACTTAGAAGTAATGCAAATGACAGGCTCTTTCTTCCACATGACACACTTAAAGATGTATTTAAGCATTACCTTACCTGCACCTGATACAGATTATAACTACTGCTACCTTCAAGTTTAAGTAGTCACATGCTTCTGAACCAATACTCCCTCCCTCCCCTTCCCAGACACTTTCAGAGAAGCAGCTTCGGGATTCTCACGTGCCACTTCAGTGCCGTGTGGCAAACTTTAAACACAGCTACTACAGACACACACAAATATGCACAGTTTAGTCAGCAATAAGCTTAACACTTATGTCACACAGGACTCCAGATTCAAACCCAGAGCTAATCCTTTTTCCACCTGACAATGATTAAGCAATTATAAAACTTCACTTACAATCAGGTCAAAATCATCCCATGTTTCTTTATGCCTACAAGGAAACAGGCATAACTGATTTGCTTCTTGGAGGCTACCGACATACAAATTGGTAGGGTGCTACTCAGTTTAGTCAGTAGCAATTTGGCAATCTACAGAAGTTAAAAGATGGTTTCTTCCACAGGTAACAACCTGCAGCAGAAGCTACACAGGGCTTGGAACTAGGGCCAAAATTAAAGCAGGACAAAATATTAAAAAAAAAAAAAAAGTAAAATAAAAAAGTCAGTGGAGCCCAAGCTACCAAGATATAGAAGGAGGAACATAGTCTAGACAAGACTCTTCAGGTTGTGCTCGGCCACAGAAAGTCAGTCTGCCTGGACTCTGCTCCTAACATCCTAAATTATCTTGCTCATAACACACACACACTGCACTGCAAGGCTAGTGATAAGGGAAAAGATAAGGGAGAGGGTCAAGCTCCCCTCTTGTGGGAGTATGGCTTCACAGCTTTGTCAGGTTACTAAAGCATCAGAAAACCACTGTGCTACCTATAAACACTGAGGTATGTGTAGTAGCTTCTGTTATGACAAGCAAGCTCTCCAGAAGTCCACTCCAGCAGGCATATCGCATGCTAGAGACAACACAGTTTAGTTCACCAAGTGGCACTCAACACCATCAACTCCATTCCTGCAGACGCACATACAGGCACGGCCTAGCGCCCATCGCCGCTCCCCGAGCTGCACCGCAGCGCTGCCAAGGGCAGCAGCCGGAGCATCACTTCTGCTGCCGAGAACCGCTGCGTTTCCTGCGCTTCCTGATGCGCTTCGCTTGAGCCAAGCGCGGGCGCCGCGGGGCGCACACCGGCCCTTCCCGCCCCGCTCACAGGGGGCGGCTCCGTCCGCAGCCGGGCCCCGGAGCGCCCGCGGGACACGGGGGGCCCGGCGGGACCGACCTGCGCTGCACAGCGCACACAGCCGGGCTTGGGGCTTAACACGGCAGCGCCCGACCCCGCCGCGGGAGCGGGGGGCACCGACCAGGGAGACACGCGCGTGTCCTCCCGCACGGCCCGACCCCGCCGGCGCTCCGGGCAAAGGCCGGGCCGGCACCGCCCCGCCCGCCGCGGTGCCCAGGCCGGGGCCGAGCGGCTCCCGGAGCGCAGCACGGCGGGCCAGGAGCGCTCCGATGGTCCCACCCCGGCGGGCGGGTCCCCGGAGCGGATCCCGCAGCCCCGCGCTCGCTGCCGGGCAGCCCCGGGGCAGGAGCGCCGCTCGCACCGGCACCGCCGCCTCTCTCCGCCCCGGCCGCGCAGCCCGCGCAGCCCCCGCCGCCCGCCTCCCCCCGCCGCCCCGCGCCCCGGCAGAGCCCTACCGGGGTCCAGGGCGGGCCCGGCGCGGCCGCACGAAGCCAATGGCCGGGCGGCGGCGGGAGGGAGCGAGCGAGGAGCCGGGAACGCCGCGGGGTCGCTGCCTGCGGAGGCGGAGCCTGCGAGGGCTTATAGGGCCGGGCCGGGCGCTCCCCGCCATGTGACCGCGGGGCGCCCAGCTGGGGCTAGTTAAGTGGCGGCGGCGGGGACCGCCAGCTGCTCGGCTGTCGCTCCCCGGAGCTTTGGCCTCCGCTTTTTTTCAATTTTTATACATTTTTTTTTCTCCCGTCCCTCCCGTGCGCTTGGCACTTTTCAAAGAGCAGCGCCCCGCTCCAGCGCGGTGCGGGACGCGCGGCCCCGGGGGCGCTGCGGGGGCGATGCCGCCCGCCCGGCGGGGCTCCCCCCGGCCCGACCGCGCTCCCGCCGCCGCCACCGCCTGACCGGCCCGGGGAGAGGGCGCTGGATGCAGGAACGACCCGAAAGCACCGCTTGCCATGAGCGCTGGTAGCGCCCGGCTCGGGCAGCGCCCGCGGCCCGGCACAGGGTAGTCGGGCAGGCAGGCGGGCGGGGGCGGCTCCGGGCGCACCGCGACCATGGTGAAGGAGGAGTGCAAGGCGCTGCTGGACGCGCTCAACAAGGTGACCGCCTGCTACCGGCACATGGTGCTGACCATCGGCGGCACCTCGGACTCCCAGAACCTGCGGGAGGAGCTCAAGAAAACCCGGCAGAAAGCCCAGGAGCTGGCGGTGGCCAATAGGAACAAGCTGACCACGGTCCTGAAGGACAAAACCGTGAGTAAGGAAGATAAAGCCGAGTTCGAGAGGCTATGGGTGATTTTCTCCACGTGCCTAGAGATCCTGGAGATCGACATGAGGAGAGCCCTGGAGCTGGGCCACGAGTTCCCGCTAAACGTCCCCAAAAAGCACCTCATCCAGACGGGAATGAGCGGGGGAACCTCTGGCGTGGCCGCCAGAGCCATGAGCGTCCAGAACATGAAATACGAGGCCGAGCGCAACATAGACGTGATGGATTTGAAAGACCTCGAGAACGAAATCAACCAGGTAGGAGAGATGATGTACGAGATGGAAATGAAGGTCAATGTCCCCCAGTGGACAGTGGAGGCTAAGCAAGACCCGGGGGCTGAACTAAAATCCACCATCAGCGTGGGCGCTTCTTCTATTGGCATGATCTCTGTGGAGGAAAATAAATCCTTCTGCGATATCAGCAAGGTTCTAGCTGGGATTGTGTTCTCTGCTGTGCTCATTATCGCCATTGTCCTGGCAGTGTGTGTGGTTAAACTGTCTTAGGGCGGTGCGAGCTCTGACATGAGCGACCCCCTCCAGGTCTGCTTGGAGTGTTTCATGCCTCACCTTTAATTTCAAAATGTGTCACTTGGATGAGGTGAGAATTTAAACGGAGCACTTGAAAGAACAAGGCAGAACTTTTCACCTCTCAGTATCCTAAAATGCACGATTTGCTTCTTCATGCTTTTTGAAGAAAAGGGATGCAAATCAGGCTGCAGAGTAGGATGTCTTCATTTGCTGGACTTGTAACAGTTAACTGAAGTATCAGGGTATTATCACTACTGGCTGTAACAGGGATTTGTCTGCTATTAATAGATCACTATTCTCAGAAGCCTGTATTTTTTGTTGTTTCACTAGGCTCTGGTGTTTGCTGCTGGTCACTGTTTACAGTATTGGAGAGTAACACAAACTTGGAGGTTAACACGGGTGTTTTGTCTGACCAAGTGGATAGAATACTTTTTTCTTCCCCCATCAAATACACAAAATATTGTTTCAGTAGAAGAAAGGGGTAAGGATGAAAACCCCAATAAAAGAATGTGACCAACCTCTGTTCTTGATAAGTTGGGGAGAGGGGAGAAAACAGAACAAGCAATGTTTGTTGATTTAGACTGGATTGTACAGAACCCAGTTGCATGAATTGGCACAGCCCATGTGAATGACTAATCGCTTTCCAAATCCAGAGAGAAAAACGGGAGAGCTGCGTGTTCAGAGAAATACTAGCAAGCCTTGTGGTTCTCATTCACATTTACCACAATTTTATCTTTCCCTGCAGAAAGGCCAATTCTTGCCACTGGTTCGAATTTTTCTTTCTGTGGCAGCAGTTTGCACTTTACAATTAATTAACTATGAAAACAGGAGAAATGAATGTACCCACAGCAGACACAGTAACATTTAAAAATAGATTTTAGCAAACAAAAATCAGATTCACTTAAAGCAGACCTTTCCAACAGGATCCCCTCTCCTGTTGCGAGGCAGGGACTGATGCTGTATGGGTACTGTCACATTTCTGCAAGCTCCCAGATTCTTTGCAGAATGTGTTTCTTTGCTAAAAATGTGTCTCACTTTCATATCTCATTCACGTCTGATTAATCATCTGGGAAAAAGGAACCCTCTAGGATCCATTTGATACACTGCAATTTTGGGAAGTAAATGCAACAGCATAAAACTTCCCAGCGCTTCCCTATAAAATTGTAAACGTTTAAATGTAAAGTTGGGGGGACAGACACTAACTTTGTAGAGAAGCTTCATAATGTTTTGTAGAAGGACTATGTGTTATGGTTATTTATTAGATAACTTATGGAAGTATCTTCTATTACTGTGAACACACACTATCCGTTCAGGAATGCTTGGTACATGCACTACAGTGCCATAGGTGTATGAGGCACTCCACAGCCAAATATAAAGATCCCGTAATACTGGGGGTTTAATAAGTCATTCTTCGTTGTTTATTATGGACATATTATCAAAATAATAATCAGACATGCTTTGTGAAGTTACTAGACAACAGTCTTCATGCTTGTTAAATAAAACTGACAACACTCATATAAACACCTAATATTTTTGAGTTAAGAACGAAACATACTTTGAAAAACTGCAGCAAACAGTTTATTCTTTAAAACTTAGGAGAACTGGATTTGGGAGAAAAAAGTGTATTTGAATCTGGTCACTTGTAGGTGAGAAAAAAATAGTAAGCAGAGGCCTGAATTAAAAGCTATAAACTATCCTTACGTTGAAGGGTAATGTGAATTCTGCACACTTATCCATTCTAACTCCATTCTCTTGGGAATTCACAGTGTTACAAGACAACTCCACATTCCTTTCTGTCGTGTTTCACTCATTCCATAGGATATGTTTTGTATGTAGTTAATCTATGTTCATAAAGATCCCTGACAGCTTTCTAACAAAGTCAAGTCTGTATTGGTGCTACAGCTCCAGCCTGCCTAGACAAGGTGTAATTCCTGTGTGTTCATTTAAATGAGATGATCTCCTTCACAATCACAGTGAGTAAACATATTTAAGGAAAATGCAGCAAAAGCTGCAGGAGAATGTACAGATTTGGATTGCCACCACTAGTCACTAAGGATCTGGGGTGTTTTCACTCTTTTACTTAGTTCACAGGAAGGTGGATAAGCAGTTGCACTCTATTCTGTGCTGCTTCAAAACTCCATGTACCTTGTGAAATCAGATCCTTTAACCACATGTTTTCAAAGCCCAAGTAATGCAAGTGTGGTTTCTGGTGGATAAATAAATGGTAACACTGACAGCATTCATTATCTTGTATCTCGGTATCTCCTACACACTTAACCATAGATAAACAGTTTATCCATGGTTAGTTGTGCAGAAGAATTTTTAAGAATAGGCAATGTCATCTTCTAAAGCAAGCCTCAGTGAGTTGATAAATTGGAAGTTTTCAGTCCATTGCATTTTTTCAATTTCAACTTTTTGCTACAGGACTCGAATTCATATAAGTGGCCTATAAATATATATCTTGCTTTATTATGAATAGGCACACAATTAGAACTTAAAGGACAGGCCTTGGAAAATGACTTTTCAAATCATAAGATAAAACACAGATGCAGATTTCTTCATCATTAGCGTGTTCCTAAAAATCTCTATCATATTTAGGCTATCTGAATAGAATTCTAAGAGAAAATTGGCACTGCTGACATCGATAATGTTCCTGCCACTCATCTCCTACACTTGATACAAATGTTCGTTCCATGTGACAGAGTTCTGGCACAACAGTGCACAAACCCAAAACAAATGAAACCACCATTGCCCAAAAGTACTGAGGCTTCTTTTAAATTCAGAAATAGAGATGTAGATTTGCAGTCTTAATTTTTTCCTCCTACCGGAATGCAACAGAAAGGAGACTGAAAATGCTATTTTGTATGTGAAAAATGGGAATTGATACTTCAAAATACTCTATATTTAAACAGCATGATGAAAAAGCACATACTCTCATGCTGATCAGTGAGAATGTAATTGTAGTACAAAAGAAGATGGTTAGTCCTTAACTTCAGTGTTGATCTACACACATTAAAGTTGCTGTATACTGAAATCTTATTCCTGACTTGAATTCTACTGGTTTTGCCTGTGCATGGGTGGTATTTTCTACACTTTGAATAATGCAAACCTGTTACTGTCACTATTTATTTAAAAATAAAGTACCTCCTTATAACTTACTGGTTGGCTTTTAGCAGTAATTCAAACCAAACCAAACCGGTTGGACTGAGTCCAGAGGATCAGAGGGATCCCAAGATCAGAGGAATGGAGCAGCTCTGCTATGAGGAAAGCTGAGAGGATTGGGATTGTTCAGCCTGGAAAAGGGAAGGCTCCGGGGTGACCTAATTGTGGCTTTTCAGTGCCTGAAGGGAGCCTGCAAGGAAGATGGAGAGACACTATTGACAAAGGCCTGGAGTGACAGGACAAGAGGGAATGGCTTCAAACTGACAGAGAGAGCAAGGTTAGACTGGATATTAGGAAAAAATTTTTTCCTGTGAGGGTGGTGAGGCCCTGGCACAGGTTGCCCAGAGAAGCTGTGGCTGCCCCATCCCTGGAAGTGTCCAAGGCCAGGTTGGATGGGGCTTAGAATCACAGAATCAACCGGGCTGGAAAAGACCTCCGAGATCATCACGTCCAACCCTTGATCCCACACCACCGTGGTTACTAGACCATGGCTTGGAGCAACCTGGGATAGTGGAAGGTGTCCCTGCCCATGGCAGGGGGTAGAATGAGATCTTTAAGGTCCCTTCCAACCCAAACTGTTCTGTGTTTCTAGGAAAACCTGGAATATTAGAACAGCTTGTCAGTAAGCTCTTAGAAACTAAAGTTCCTATTTCAGCCACAGTAATAAAACAGTACTAAACCCTCTCATTAACAGTTTTCTTAACATAAACACACCCTTCTCAAGCTCATAAAGTTGAATATAGTGATGTAGCTTGATTTATACTGCAAGGGAGTCAGCAGTGTGAAAAGTCAGGAAATCTCTGCCTTAGGAAACAGCTACAATAACATTCAGGCTAACAGATGACGCTGCCTTCAGCACTGCTTGCTCAGTGGTAAGTACACAACCACTGGCTTGGACAACTGAAAACCAGGGAACATATTAGACCAGAACAACGGATTAAATTCTCCTGGTGTTAGGATCCAAATTGTCCCTTTCAGCCAGTAAAGCTGGCATTTACTTTAGCAAAAAATACACACAACCTAAGGAGCGTGAAATTTGGTCCTGCGGTATCGATAGCAACGACGATCAACAGTTGTGTCACACTATCAGAACTGAGTCTGTTCTATGCAAAAACTTGTAATTTCATTCCGGGATTTCCAGTCTATCACCATAAAAACTCTTTACATTGTTTTTCAGTTTACTAACCAAAGGAAGACAGAACCATAATTAAAGTGGTTCTCCTTACGTGGGAAACAATGTAACATCAAACTTCTGCACTATGAAAATAAAATTAGATTCACAATTCTTCACGTAAATATGACAGTATTTTTTACAGTAATGCAATTATTTAAAACTGGACTAAATGACTGATGTAATTATCTTTCGGATTAAAAATTAAACACGTGCTTATTGTTTATACTCCAAGAGGGCTGGTTATGGGCTTGCTTTTCCTTCTCTTGGAAGGTTTCTATTGTTTATGTCCACCTTCCAGAAATACCTTCTATTTAAGTGCTAATGGAACTCCTAGTCAACATATTTACCCTTCACAGATTTTCATTATGTAAAAAGTCATCCAGTAAGACCAGTGGATTACAGATCTCTAAGTGCTTTCTCTCAATACGATTATATAAGTCTTTTAATGCAGGAAGAGATCTGGACAAAATAGTAGTCTACACGTGAGCAGCACTTGCTATGGTAAATGTACAATAAAAGTGGGATTACAAAAGAATGTCTTTCACATAAAATTATCTGCATGTGTTTATGGAAGGACAAAAAAAGGAAGGAGGTGGATGTATGTAGTAAATATGTTAGCGAAGTTTGCTCTCTGTTAAATCCAACAGCACCCCAACGTTAAGCTACACCTTCTCTATAAAAAGAGGGAGTATCTTATGTCCAGTGGGACAAAGGATATAAAATATCCCTGAGTGGAACTGACCATCTATTCTTTGATTAACTCAGTACAGAGTAAGAGTAAAATTATTTTTATTTGATACACATTGATACCAATTTTACAAAAGACAAGCCTTTTTTTTCTCTCTCAGTTTCACACTACAAGGGACTTTTTTTCTGGAAAAAGGCAGTCCCACAAGGCTGGATTCCATCATCCATCCTGACAGCTTTCTGCTGGAATGCAGCTTCATTAGCTACCACTGATGGAACCTGTGGAAAGGTGAAAAGTCACATGGCATTTAACCAGCGTCAGGGCTCCTGTGGATCTCCTCAGCCAGCCAAGCACAAGGGGTTCATGCTGGAAGCAATGTGACTGAAAGCCTCGTTGGCAAACACAAATTCCATCACAGCACCTCCGAAATTCTGCCACCCACAGAGGCCAGCGAGCAAATGCAACTATGTTTATTGCTCCGTTCCAGCAATTTGTCAGAATATCTACTATGGCTTTCCCAAAGTGACAGAAATTGACTTTTTGAGCCTCCACAGGGTCAGGTGGGTTCTTTGGTTTGTTTGTTTGTTTTCTTTGTTTGAGTGGTATGTTTTATTTACCTTGTATTGCCTGGCATTGTTTATCATGTACTTAATAATAACATCTCCACCAAATCAAACAAACAAACAAACCCTCTCAAAGCTAGTTCTAATTCAACCGCACAGAAATGGAAGTCACAATCATAGTATAAATATGGTCTGTCATTTTGATAATTTTTCCACTGTGCTTTAAATTAACACTGGAGTCTACACTCACTCAGGTCTGTCTCTCACACACATGTTCAATGAACATACACAGTTGAACCCATTGATGTGTCACAGCACTAAGGAATTACATAGCCAAAAACATGGCTTTAAAAATCATGGGGTTTTTTTGTAAGAACAGTAAACATCAGATCTTACAGCCATCTATAACTGTCTTAGGGAAAGAAAAGTCAAATGCAATTTCTTTGTATGATCCAGAAGACTCTATACATACATAGCATAAATGCTGGGGGGAAAAAACAAGAAAGGGGGCAATGAGAAAAGACAAAAGAAAATATTTAACTATTTATACTGTATAAAGTGACTGAGGACTACCAGAGACACCAAACATGATACTCCCTTAGCAACTTAATCTAATATGCTAATTGCAGGTGTAACTTGAGTTATAAATACACATTTGAATTTGGGGTCCTAGAGGGAGTGCTCCAAATCATTCCTAATATAAGGCATCACTACTCAGTCTGGTGAGAAATTATATGTATGAAAACTATTCATGTAATTAAAAGCTGCAGAATTAGAACCATAATTTCTGTTTCCATAAGACATGTAATCCATTGTGCGTCTGTTGCAAATAGAACATTTCCAGTTGTTAATACTATCTGTAACCTAGTTTTCTCATCTGCTTTATTTGTTGGAATATAACTTTGTATGAAGGTAGCTGTATTTTTTATTTTCTTTTTAGTGAGTCTTCATATTGGTAGTATAATCATAAACCTGCATTTCCTAGATTTGACATTTATTCACAATTTGTACAGAAGTAACTGGAGTAGGGAAGAATGTCTGCCTTAACTTGCACTTGGCCACCTTTGAGCCCAAAGGACTGCTTCAGATGCTGAGCACAGTCCTGAACAATGCAGTAAGCACAGCACTGCAGCTCTGCTGACAGCCCTGGTGTTCTCTCTGTGTCTGAGGTTGCAAACAGCAGCCTACGTGCAGCCACACATTCCACTTCCACTCCCCTGCACGAATGCCTATGAAATCAGACCCGCTTGATTTAATACCAGTGGATACCAATAAAACCAGAGGAATGGGCCACCACATTCATCAGAAGGATGGGGCACCTCTCCTACAAGGAAAGGCTGAGAGAATTGGGATTGTTCAGCCTGGAGAAGAGAAGCTTTGGGGTGCCCTAATTGCAGCCTTCCAGTGCCTGAAGGGAGCCTGCAAGGAAGATGGAGAGACACTATTGACAAAGGCCTGGAGTGAAAGGACAAGAGGGAATGGCTTCAAACGGACTGAGAGCAAGGTTAGATTGGATATTAGGAAGAAATTCTCAGCTGTGAGGGTGGGGAGGCCCTGGCACAGGTTGCCCAGAGAAGCTGTGGCTGCCCCATCCCTGGAAGTGTCCAAGGCCAGGTTGGAGGGGGTTTGGAGCAACCTGGGCTAGTGGAAGGTGTCCCTGTCCAGGGCAAGGGGGTGGAATGAGATGGTCTTTACGGTCCCTTCCAACCCAAACCATTCTATGATTCTATGACTTGTTTGCCAGGATATTCCTGCTTTGCATACTAGGACTTGTGAGACCTTACACTGTCCTAGATAAGAAAAAAAAAAATCACAAAAAAACCATTCCACTTAGAAACTTAACATTGCTATTCTCTAGTACCAGATTTTCCTAGATATATTCCAGGGCTATCAGATATTGCATTTTTGCCATAGTAAGACAGTTTTGTGTATGTTCTGGTATTACAGCTGATTTGAAAGTGACACTGTTCATTATTGGTACGTGACTACTTCCTACTTAAAATGCCTTTACGCTGAAATGACCAGACTTAATGGACCCTAAATCTTTTTGATCAGCCATCAAGCTCATTGGACGTTAAATCTTGAAAACCCTCAGTAGTTTATTAATATTTCTCTAGTAAAGCAGCTTTTAGGCAAAGCACATCCCTAACAAGATGTATACTTAACACAGTAAAATAGTTACCTACACTAAGAGTGAAAAAGGCAAACAAATACAAGGAGAACATTGTGATTTTAGGTTCAAAATACCCTCTAGTAGGAAACAGGCACACTAGTGGGCCTTGTGATTCCATTGCTAAGACGGTAATCACAGATGAGCAATAAGGATTAAGTTAGTATGAAAAAGGGACACGCAAGTTAGAAGATGTCATTGGTTTTGTCTGTATATTCGGTGATGAACCCAGGAAGGAGAGGGAGGGCAGGCTTGTATATTGTTGGGCCACATGTTTTAGCAACATCAGCAGACTGGCAGCAGGGTGAACTTATGGCCCAGCTGTGTCTGGGTACACCTCGAGTTCAATTTTGGGTTTGTCAACTGACAAATTCCAGCATCCCACTGATTCAGTTGCTTCTAAACATCCTTTCAGTTCCAGTGACACACATCTCATAGGCATCAAGTACATGCTCACATACAAAATCAAATGGAGAAGTTGTCAGAAGCATGTACAGGTATGTGGGTATTTGCCAAACACAACCTGGCAAGAGAAGGATTATGGACAGGAGGAGGATTCTCCATGTTACATGCAAACACCATTCTTACATTTCTCAACCTGTGTCATCAGCTTTCTTCTGCTTAAACTCCTTACAAATTCAGAAAAAATATTAAATTAACAAAAATAAAATATTTCCTAAAGGTTCAAAGGACTTTTTCCTGGCTTGCTATCTCGCGTGAATAAATGTTTATTTTTCAGGTAACAAGGTACTTAAAAACCTCAAAACAGAAGACCTCTGTATAATCATTAACTAAAACTCTACACACTCCTCCCCCTTGAAGCCTACTAGAACACATTCAAACAACTTAGCGCATGCTACGTTTAATTACAGACCTAAAATGACTTTTGTTATCAGCATGGTTTGCTATGGAATTGAGATAAGGAGATTTCTGCGAGGCCAGCTGGCGGGTCAGCAGCAGTATTACGATTACAAATCCGAGTCCTTGGTTTCTGACCCGGGGCTGACTCCTGGGGCTGCAACTACAGCCCCTCCAGCGCTACTCGGGAAGGCTCTGGGCTCCGAGGAAGCTCAGCATTTACGCGTCGTCGCGCTGTAAATACACTCAGGGAGCGGGAGATACCCCAAGCCGTATTTCCCAAGCGAACCGAAAGCCATCGATACCGCCTCGTTCCTCTCGGCCGTCCTGCCTTAAACCCCCTGCGTTTCCTTAAGCTTTCGCCCTCGGAGGACACACGCTACTTACCGGCTTAGGGCTGGTGCGGGCTGGGGCATCCCGGCCGCCGGCCCGCCTCCTCCATCCCTCCCTCCGCGCGGTCCCGCCCCGCTCCCGCGGCTGCAGTGGCTCCTCCGGGAGCGCAGGCGGCGGTGCCGCCCGGCCGCCCCCGCGCCCTCGGCCCGGCCAAGATGAACCCGCGGCTGCGGCACTGGCGGGAGGCGGCCACGCTGCTGCTGGCGGCGGGCTCGCCGGGCCGCCCGCCGCGCTGCCCGCTCGGCCCCTTCGACTACGAGCTGCTGCTGCTGCGGCGGAGCTCCCGCAGCGGCTTCATGCCCGGCGCCCACGTGTTCCCGGGCGGGCTGGTGGAGGCGGCGGATTTCTCGGCCGAGTGGCTGGCGGTGCTGCCCGCCGCGCCGCGCTGCGGGATGGGCGCCGTGAAGCCGCCGCCGCCCGGCGGGGTCCGCGCCCCGCTGTTCGCCACCGACCGGGAGCGCCTGGGCTCGCCGCTGCCGGGGGAAGTCGCCTTCCGCATCTGCGCTCTCCGGGAGACCTTCGAGGAGGCGGGGATCCTGCTGCTGGTGCCGGGCCGCGGGCCGGCCCCGCCGCTGCCCGCCGAGCGCCTGCCGCCCGCCGCCGAGCTCGGGCGGTGGCGGCGCCGGGTGCAGGAGGACCCGTCCTGCTTCCTGCAGCTGTGCCGGCACCTGGGCTGCGCCCCCAACATCTGGGCGCTGCACGAGTGGAGCAACTGGCTGACGCCCGTGGGCCGCGGCGGCCGCCGCTATGACACGGCGTTCTACCTGTGCTGCCTGGAGGAGCGGCCGCCCCACGCCTCGCAGGACGACCAGGAGGTGACGGCCGTGCTGGTAAGAGGGTCCCCCGCGCCGCGGGGATGGGGATGCCTGGGATGCTTGCACGGTCCGGATGCCTGGGATGCCGCACGGACCGGCCGGGCGGTAGTTCCGATGGGCACGGGCGCTCCTGCCCCCAGAATCACTGAGTCAGTTAAGGCTGGAAAAGATCTCTGAGATCGAGTCCAACCTTTGACCGAACGCCGTCGTGTCAACTAGATCTTGGCACTAAGTGCTACATCTGATCTTCCTGAACACCGCCAGGGACGGCGACTCCGCCGTTCCCTGGGCAGCTCATTCCAATGTTTAATCACTCTTTCTTTAAAGAAATTTTTCCTAATGGCCACTCCAAACTTCCCCTGCTGCAGCTTAAGACTCTTGTCCTATTGCTTCCAGTTCCCTGGGAGCAGAGCCCGCCCCCCACCTGGCTCCGCTCCCCCCTCCTGTCAGGGAGTTGCGGAGATCGAGGAGGTCCCCCCGAGCCTCCTTTTCTCCAGGCTGAGCCCCCCCAGCTCCCTCAGGGCTCCTCACAGGACAGATCGAACAGTCCATCAAAGCCATCCTGATAACGCGCCCTTAAGACGTGAGGAAAGGGAAGGGAGGGGACCCTCTCCCCTGCACCCCTGGAGCTGCCACTGCCCCCTCACCAGAGGTGCAGCTGGAGCAGCTGCTGGGAGAGGGTGTTCTGTGAAGGTCGTTTTACCTGACGTGTTATGGCACAGGATCCGTGTCCTGTCACATCACTTTCACCTTGAATTACCATCTCTTTCAAAGGCAGATGACAAGTATCACTTTTTACACGTTCATTCGTGCAGAGCAGGGAAGGGTTCTCACATGCCCTTAACACAGTATGCTGGGAGAGATCCATGTGAGATGTACAGGTATACTCCAGGATGCAAAAGATGCTAGTAATTTTAGTTTTCCAGAGTTAGTTGGAATATTTTAAGTAACATACAAACTTGCTGAAATAGTCTATTAAAAATTTTGAAGCTTCGGTGTTTTTTACCTTTTTTTTTTAAATTAAGTGAGCAAAAGTAACAAACTTTACAAAGAAACTTCTTTTATGGTCAGTTACATTGGGGTCCTTAAGTTTTTCTAGAATTCTGAAAAGTTCAATAGCAAGTTAGAAGTAGATGAGAAACCAGACAGTTCTGTAAAAGCTTACCTAATAATTTTGATATCACTGATGCTGCAATACGTAATTTTTTAACAGATTTTCTACAGAAATTCAAAAGTACCTGAGATCTCATCTTCAAAAGAGTTCATGTTTGTTATAATTTTGCTAATAACAGCATAAATGCACTGCAAATGCTTATGCACACATTTATATTACCAAATTCACCATGTAAGACGAAATCAAGATCACCAATAGTTTAAACATGCAGAATAAGCTTGAATAGCTGGGTGTTCACGCTCTGAAAACAGTGCATGTAAGAAGCAGATGTTTGGAGGTACTTTTAAATCTCAAAGCATCAGTAGCAGCCTCTGGTGGCGCTGAGTTTAATGTTTTCTGTTGGTTTCAGTACACTTTTAGTCAGTTCCCTAAAACAAATGTTGGTTTCTAAACCTGGCATGTCTAGGTGTAAAAAAAAAACCTTATTTTTATTGGAAAGAAAGGAGTAACTTTTATAGATGGCTTACATTTTTCAATTTTCAAAATTTCTTTGTTGTTATTTTGGTATAGTTTATACACGGGGTTTTTTGTGTTCAGATGTTGCAAGCTCTTTTTCTGTAAAGGCTTCCTTGCTAATGATTTTTCAGGTTACTCAGACTTTCTGTCTGCTGATGAAACTACTGTTTCAAGGCTTGTTTTCATCTTACAGTGGTCGTCACCTCCAGAAGCCATTGAACGCTTTAAGTCTCAAGAAATATGGTTTCCTCCGCCGCAGTTCTATGAATTTTGTAGGCTCTGCAACTTCTCTTCCCTCAGTGAGTTACACAAGTTCAGCTCTGAGCGAGCTCTGGAGGGCTGTGAGCACTGGATGCCGGTGATGCTGACTGCTTCCGATGGCTCCATCCAGCTGCTGCCAGGTAAGGGAACACCTGGAGGTTCTCTTATATATACAGCATCTCAAGCCACATGACATAAACCATCTGTAAGGAAAATACTCTTTTAAGTTGTGTTTGTACCGTGTGGTTCCTTGTTTGCTCCAGTTCTGACAGTGGCTGCTGTCAGAGACGAGCCAGGGGGTCACAGACAGCACACTTGTTCCTTACTTATAATGTCATCGTCTCACCATTGCCATAATGCTTATTTATGAAGAAACTCGAGCATTTTGGCTTTTTTTAATCTGAAGGATGTATTTAGAACTCCTCCTGTTTAGTCCTTTTCAGTGGGAATTCTCGTTTACTTCAGTTATCCGTTTGTCTTTGTAAGGACAAGGGACTCGAGCACAGCTGCATTATCAGTCCTCACAACTGCAGTGACAGGGCACTGCACTAAAACAAGTCATTAAGTCGCCTTCCTCCTGCCCTCTCTCCTACTTAAGTCTCTCATTTCATAATCATGTACAAGCAGCGTTAAGAAAAGCTGCACGTACTTTTTATTATTTTCTGCTTTTTCTGATTGCTTTTCATTAGGCTTTCTCTTTTTTTTTTTTGTCACAATAGATCTCTAGGATTTCTGTATTTGGGGTCTATTAGGAGTCTTGCACAAAAGTAGTTTGCCTTGATATGGCAAAACACTGTTTTCATCAACAAAACAAAGCTTCTGTTCTTAGTACACTTGAAAAAGCATTTGTCCTATTCTCCACCTGTTATATAAACTCCTATCTCCCCAGGCTGCAATTATAGCATATTAAAACTATCAGGAGCTCTGGAACATTTAAGTCAACACCTCAAATGTGCACTGCAGTTTCACTGATAGATGCTTCTGGAAATTTATGGCTCTATTTTTAAATCCAAAGATGTTTAGAGGCAATTTACTTTTGCATTGCAAAATACATTTCCAGTGAGTTTCCTGTCCTGATAAATATTAAAAATTGCCAGTGTCACTCAGTGAAAAAGCTGAAAAATAAAGTTGGCTATCTATAACTAAAACTTTTTTTTCCACCCTCAGGAGATGAGTTATATCCAGAAGATCCAGATTATACAGGAGAAAAAAAAACAATTATGTCAACAGATAAGAAGATTGAAGAGCTCATGAAAGAGGGCAGTATATTTCACAGGATAGTAATAAAAACCACCCACAATTATGCTGTCTATGTTAATATTCAAGCAAAATATAAGCATATCAATCCACTGATGATAAACTGTGATAGTTCAGATTACAACAGCAAATTGTAGTATGTGTTTGGTTTAAATCTAGAACAATACATATTCAGTGTGGTTTTGGTGCTTTCTGACTGTTGCCAAGTAGTCAGGAAAACATTTCTCTGTCCTGCCAAAGCATTTTGTCTGTGTGTGTGTGTTGTCTGATTTATGTGTACCTAATTCTCTGAGTCTTTGAAACAGCTGTGCCACTGATAAGTCACAAAGGTCCTTTTCTCACTGAAAATTTTAAGTATATATTTTGTTCAGAACAAGCATGTTTTGAGTTGAAGAATTCTTTTACTATGCTTCCCAAGGTTACCTATTAGATAAGTGCAATGTGTGTCTACAAATGAATGAAATCTCTCATTCCATATTTGTTGACATCTCCCAGTCTAGTCTCTCTTTCATTTTTGGGAAAAGGAGTGTGTGTATGTATATATAGAGAGATTTATTAGCTAAAATACAATTTTTAAAAGAATATTATAAAGTCCATTTTTATATTTGATACACCTAAATTCTTTTTACTAGTGGTAATTATACAAAACTTTACAATTTCCAAAGGTAGAGATAATTTAAACAAAGTCCTCTATCAGATCAAGTGCATTATTTTTATTGTTATATTTTTTTATCTTCAAGTTGCTAGCAATTTAAAAAAATAGAAACATTTAATTTTTTAGCTCCAAAAAGATACCCACAACTTAAGGGAATAATGTTCCTCCTTGGAAACACTCACTTCCATATTCCAGCATCCCACATTTTGCTTCTTAACTACTTTACTAAATATATTTGAGATTTAAGAACTTCAGAGGAAAGACTGCTGCTTAATTTTTTGGTTCGGATTTTTGATTTGTTGGATTTATCTTTTTTTCATGCAATAAGTGGAGTCAGTGGAGCAGTGATGTAAATTCTTTATCTGGAAGAAGAATGAGTGATGACTTGAGATTAGTCAATAAAGTTGTTCAGAAAGCTTTGTTCCAGCTTTTTGTTCTGTGTTTCAATTAAAACTTGCTGCAACATCTTCATTAAATCGGTCTGTAGTATTCATTTGGATTGGAAAAAAAGTGTCTTCTGTCTCAGAACATGCCCAGATTGTTGTTCATTTTGCAGACCTCGTTGAGGTTTGTGAACCTCTGCTGAACACGGACCATGGGAAGCAGAGCACTGTGTATAATGTATATTATGCAGTACAGTATCTCCCTCCAAATATTCTGGCCAGGTGGGATATTCCCTATTCTCCAGTCACTGCCATGACTGTTCGAATACAGTGGGGAGGGAGTGCTTTAGCACCCAGGCTTGCCATTTCCCTCGGAATCCTGGGATGCATCTCATCATGTTCCAAGGACTTGTCTATGTTCAGGTTTCTCAGAAGGTTTTGAACTTGGTCTTCTCCAACTAGGGAAGGTACTTTTTTCACCCCCCCCGAGGTTCTGGGACTTGAGAGATGTGGGAAGAGTGACTGCCAGCAGAAACTGAGGGAAAAAAAATTGTCAAATGTCAAAGAAACCCCGTGAGCCTTTTCCCTGTGGGTTCCACTGGATCTCCTGTCTGATGGATTGGGGGTGTACATTTGCTTAAGTCCTCCTTTTGTAATCAACACACCTCTAGGAGCTATTACTATTATTATTCACATCCCTTGCCACGTTCAGCTCCAGCTGTGCCTTAGCTCTCCTGATCCCATTCCTAAACACCCAAGCACCATCCCTATATTCTCTCTTATGGATTCATATTCCTGCTTCCAGTGCTACAGCTGGTCTTTTTTTTCTTTTCTTTTTTTCCTGTTGTCCCTGCATTAGTTAAAAGAACTACCAGCATTTTCAAAGAATTACCAGTATCTCACAAGTGTCTCCCCTACAAAGGAGACTTTAAGTCTCAAATAATTCCCAAACTCCAAAAATTTATTAATTTCCCACAGATTCCAGCAGAACTTTCTTTTTCAAGTTGTTTGCCACAAGAAAGGCTTTTATGTGTTATCAAAAGGATTTCGTTTTCCAATTTGTATACATCGAAAAGCCAAAAGCTGGACTTCCACCTGCTCTGTGGGGTGGAGCTGCGAGCGTTCCTGCAGCATCTCGAGCGTGTCCTGTCTCACTCCCGTCAAGTGCCATTTTCCCCTCCAAAGCTTTTAAGGAGCCGGGAATGCGCCATTTGGGAGCTCAGAGCCCGCCCTCGCGCGGGGGTGGTTCTGGAGGTGGGAGGCTCCGGAGGGAAGAGGCTTCTGGAAGGTTCCCGTGGAAGATTCCCTTTGGAGCGGCCGGAGCGTCGGCAGGGCGGTGCGTGCGAGCCTGGGCACTGAGGCTCAGCGGGATCGTTCCCGCGGGGAAAACCACGGAACTGTGGCAGGATAGGGTGGAAAGGGGGGTGTCGGGGCGGGGGGAGACGGAATAAAGAGGAAAAGCTCGGGTTTTAGCAGTCACGTGTTCCCCTGCTCCTCGTGTTAGTGCCTCCCGGTGAGCGGTGTTCAGACGGAGCAGAGGGACAGCGGGTGGTTTGTGTTTTCCAGGAGGGTTTGCGAGCACCGGGATTGCCGGAGAGGCTCTTTCTGCCTCTCGGGGGGTGGTGTCACGGCAGCGGGTTGGGACGAGGCATTTTTACGAGGTAACTGCTGTCCGCCGTGGGTGGGGGGTTTGAGTAAATAGTTGTGTTCTTGCTCAGTTCTTAACAAAGCGGGAATGTTACTGGGAATGTATTGGGAGCGCTTTTGTATTGGGAGTCTTTTCTGTGTTTGTGCTTCGTCCCCGCTGCTTTGTTGGGCCGTTTTCTGTGCTTGCACTAATCCACCTGAGACATTAGCTGAAGTTATTTATGCCCCTCGCATGTTATTGCTGAAAAAAAAAAAAAAGGCGTCTACTTTAAATGTCTTAGGGCAGCACAATGTATCTCACTGTTAGAGTGTGTGATAGCGCAGTGCTGAGACACCTCTGTGGGACTCAGGAGCTTGCCTTGTGTCGAATGACCTTAGGTAAAGCCTCCCAAAGAGTTTAGGCTGTTCCATTGTCATGTTAAACTGGGAATAATTAGTGCTCAGTCTTAGCAGAGCTTGTTGCTCGCTGTGACCGCAGGGTAGCTGTGTTGCTGCTTGCTTAGTGTGACTTGTTCAGCAATAGCTTTGGAAGTGGAAGGCCGATGTCTTGATTTTCCTTCTTGAAACATTTTATTAGGCAGTTATTTCCAGTGGGAATTAGGTCGTAAGGTAGACACTGCGGGGATGATACCACGGTATGCTGGTTTGTGCCAAAATGAAATGCAAGTTACTTCAGTCTGCAGGTAGTTTAATTATTCCATTGTAATCCCTAGATTTGGGACTCCTCTTTTGTGTTAGGGTGTGGGTTGTTGTTTTTTTTTTTTAAAACACGTAAATATTTCCCTCTGGTGTCCATTTGCTCATGTAAGTAGCTTGTAGCAGCCCTTGTCTGTAATCAGCCTGTGTCTGTTGGCCTTTGAATGGAAGAGATGGCAAATCTTAATTATACTTTAGCATAGCACCTCATTAAGAAGGCTGGTTGAACCCTTTGAAATATGTTAACAAGTTGCCTAGATTAATACTCCTGACATAGGTAGTAAAAATCCATAGGTGCTTTTAGGTGTCTGCTCTTTAGGTACACTTCAAAACAAATGGTGGCTCTAAAAATTGTTAATCAAATGTTTGCCGTTCTTTTACAGAAGTGATGAATGTGCCACACGGGACAAACGTGGATGTTGTGGTATTAAAGGTACGTTGGTGTTTTTAAAGTGTGGAGGACTGATGTTTATTTCCATGTGACTTTCTGGAAGTGAGATTTACAAACAAGGTGCTTGTGTATGTCCATTCACCAGTACTCCTTGTACGTATGGGGTCAAATATGGGTTATAAACGTTTTGTCATTTGTTTTAGGTTTTGTTTTCCTCACAAAATAGCTGTGTGCATATCATTTACCACCATGCCATGATCTACCCTGTGCTTTTCATGATTTCTGAGCTTTGATCTCTCTCCCTAAACAGGGAGCTCAACATATCCCTGACAGTGCCTCCAAGTCTTCCCAAACACCTACGTTGTCTCTACACAGAAATTGTACTTCTCAAAACAGAGGATAAACAGCAGTAGGTGTAATATATGGGGTTTCCCACACTGTTATTCTTCAGGCCTTGGTATTCCCAGCTGCAAGGTCACTTGAGCAAACTTACCATCTTCCTCACCATTCTTCCACTTTTTAACCTTTCCAAAATAAGGAATGCAGCTAAAATCTAAGATAGTTGTGCAACACAGTCTTAAATAGTATGTAGTGTAGTCTAGATTATACTGAATTTCACAGGAGGTTGTGGAAAACACAGAATACAGCCAGGACAGCTGACCCCAGGGATATTTCCTGCCTCAGGATGTCGTGCTCAGCAATAAAAGCTGCAGGGAAGGAGGAGGAAAGGGGAATGTCTGTGGTCATCAAATTTGCCTTCCCAAGTCAGTACTGTGAGTGATGAAGCCCTGTTTTCCTGGAAATGGCCAAGCAACTGATTGCCTATGGGAAACAGTGAACACAGTCCTTTATTTTGCTTTGCTTGTACGTGCAGCTCTTGCTTTGCCTTGTCAGCTGTTACTCTATCAACCTGTGAGTTTTTCACTTTTATCCTCTTAGTTGGCTGCTCATCCTGCCACAGGGATGTGAGTGAGGGAGCAGCTGTGTGGGGTTTAGTTGTCTGCTGAGATTAACCCACAACAACTGTGGACCCAGATCAGCTGGAACACTGGACTATGAGGGTTTACAAAGGCTGGGCAGGAAGCTGTCACCCCATTTTAAAGAAACTGGCCGTCATGCAGACTCTGAGTACGAAAAAGTGCCCATTGGTGGGGTTTATCACATATTTTGAGGTTTTTATACGAACTCTTGAAGACTTCATAAGGAAGTAAAAAGCTTTGCGCTTTGCCCAGTGTTTGGTTTAACCAGCTTTTAGAAAGTGCTGCTCTCTTGCAGACTTCATGTGGCATTTGTTGCAGTGCTAAAGAAACTTGGAAGCTGAGAATTAATCTCATGAACTAACGGTGTGAAAGGTGGTTTGTTTGGTAACATTCTGTATGCTCAGTATCAGTCACCATGATTTTAAAGGTGCCTCACAAGAGATGAAGTTTTGTTCGTACATTTGCTGCTCAGATGTTCTTAAAAAGCATCATTTTAGCAGGAGTTAATAGTACTTGTTCTCTACCCCTTGCCCCAGATTGAAGATCCAAGTTGCTTTTGGCTTGCTGTGAAAGAATGTGTACCAGGCCAAGTCTATGAAGTGGCATACAACAACCTGAATGCTCAAATGACTGAGTTCTATGACAAACATAAAGATGTGAAGAAATTAAAACCAGAGACAATAGAAGGCGGCCAGGTAAAGTCATTGCTGTATCATGTACATAGAAATAGTCTGTTCTTTGCATTGGTTTGAGGTGAAGTGACAGATGCTTGCTTTTTTGGGGGGTTTGTATAGCTATGTAGAAAAGTAGGTAATGGGATCTCTGTGGGTTGTGTGTTCTCATTCTCATCTGTAAGCTTCCTAACTGCACACGCTGCAATGCTTGCATTTTACAAAGAAAATGTAGGGCTGTGTAATAAATGTTCTTGCCTCTGAAAGACCTTTGAGTGTAATTCAGGCCATTTGCAGGAATCTGTTGTCTTCTTTCTTCCTCAGGTTTATGTGGTTTTCAGTGAGGAGCTCAAGTGCTGGTGCAGGGCAGTCTTTCAGTCAGCCCAGGGCCACGCGGTTCGTGACCAGCTCAGATGTTTCCTTGTGGATTACGCCAAATACAGTTTGGTTGAATCAGACAAGTATGTGTCAGAGTTTTTTATCCCTGTAAGATACTTGTTAGTTAATGGATACAGATGCTATTAACACTTACTCAGGTTCAGGGTGACAAGGCTTTGAATTGAGGTGTGGGTTGGGTCCACAGAAGCTGCTAGCTGGGTGATAGGCTCTTGCAAGTGTGGGTGCAAACCAGTCCTTATTTTGTGAACTTTTAAAGATGCTTTCCATCTTAGGCTTTGTTTTTTTAAAGATTCAAAATAGAAATAATGT